CTACATTTCTCTTTGATACTTTACTAAATAGTAACACATGCAGACACACACACACACACACCCCCCCACACACACCAGTTTTTTTAAAATTTCTTTTTAAGCAAGACTGACTTCTCAAAACCTATCCCTGTGAGTCAGCTTACATTTAACAGAAACTATAACCTTATATCAAAGGCTTTTTTTCACAAGAGTTCAATCTCAGAGATGAATATTACTGAACAAAAATGAGAAAAGCATAAACAAATAAAAATAAGGCACCATAACTCATCAAAGAACAAATAAAGGCCAAATGAGCTATAAATGTTAGCTTGTCTTGTACTTATTAATTTCAATAATGTATTAATATTACCAGCCTATCTTCTCTCACAAGAGACATATTGCCAGTAAAGTAAACAAAACTCACTTTCATTTCTGCTCAGTCTGATTCTATGCTTATAACTCAGTCAGCTAAACTGTGGTATTATTAGTGTGTTTACAGAATCTGAGAAGCCATGGTCTCCAGCACTCTAGATATTCTGAGCCTATTTTCATATGCTGGGCTATGTCTACCTGGGGAACCATGGTCCTAAGTACAATTGGCTATGAGACAAGAGTTTGGAAAGGTCTAATAAAATGCTAGAAAATATGGGAAAATAATTTTGGTTAAGGGATACAAGTTGTTCTTGTGCCTTGATTTGAAGAGTAAGAATAAAAAGATGGTAGTATAAAGGTTTTAAAGGTGACGTCCTCAGAAAATGACCTTTCTAATGATTTTCTTCTGTTACTAAGAAATGAGAAAGACCAGCACTGTGCCAATCCTATTCTTTCCCCTTTATACCTTTTAAGTCAGCTGGTATGGATCCTCATTCACGTCTTATATCCAAGAAACATTAGATAAACTTCTCTTCTTGTGCATAAAGCAACATAAGATGTTACTATGGTTTCGATACTGTTTGTTTATTCCCACAAAATCTAATGTTGAAATTTGATCCCCAGAGTTGCAGTATTGGGAGGTGGGGCCTAGTGAGAGGTGTTTGGCTAGTGGGTGGATCCCTCATGAATGGCTTGGTGCTGTTCTTCTGGTAATTGCTTGTATTAGTCCGTTTTCATGCTGCTGATAGAGACATGCCTGAGACTGGGTAATTTACAAAATAAAGAGGTTTATTGGACTTACAATTCCACATGGCTGAGGAAGCCTCACAATCATGATGGAAGGTGAAAGACAAGGAGGAGCATGTCACATCTTACATGGATGGTGGCAGGCAAAGAGAGAGGTTGTGCAGGGAAACTCCCATTTTTGAAACCATTAGATCTTGTGAGACTCATTCACTATCATGAGAACAGTGCAGGAAAGAACCGCCCCCAAAATTCAATCACCTCCCACTGGGTTCCTCGCACAACATGTGGAAATTGTGGGAGTTACAATTCAAGATAAAATTTTGGTGGGGACACAGCTAAGTCGTATCATTCCACCGCTGGCCCCTCTCAAATCTCATGTCCTTACTTTTCAAAACCAATCATGCATTCCCAACAATCCCCCAAAGTCCTAACTCATTTCAGCATTAACTCAAAAGTTCACAGTTCAACATCTAATCTGAGACAAGGCAAGTCCCTTCTGCCTGTGAGCCTGTAAAATCAAAAACAAGTTAATTACTTCCTAGATATAATGGGGGGTACAGGTATCAGGTAAATACAGCCATTCCAAATGGAAGAAATTTGCCAAAACAAAGGACTACAGGCCCCATGCAAGTCCAGCATCCAGTGGGGCAGTCAAATCTTAAAGCTCCAAAATAATCTCCTTTCACTCTATGTCTTACATCCAGGTCACGCTGATGCGCAAGGTGGATTCCCATAGTCTTGGGAAGCTCTGCCCCTATGGCTTTGCAGGGTACACCCTCCCTCCCAGCCACCTTTATGGGCTGGCATTGAGTGTCTGTGGCTTTTCCAGGTGAACAGTTCAAGTTGTCAGTGGATCTACCATTCTGGGGTCTGGAGGATGGTAGCCCACCTCTCACAGCTCCACTAGGCAGTGCCTCAGTAGGGATTCTGTGTAGGGGCTCTGACCCCAAATTTCCCTTCTGCACTGCCCTAGCAGAGGTTCTCCATGAGGGTCCCACCCTGGCAGCAAACGTCTGCATGGGCATCCAAGTGTTTCCATACATCTTCTGAAATCTAGGGGGAGGTTCTCAAGCCTCAATTCTTGATTTCTGTTCACTCGCAGGCTCAACACCATGTGAAAGCTGCTAAGGCTTGAGGCTTACACCCTCTGAAGTCATGGCCCGAACTCTATCTTGGCCCCTTTCAGGCACATATGGAGCAGCTGGGACGCAGGGCACCAAGTCCCTAGGCTGCATACAGCATAGGACCCTGGGCGCAACCCACAAAACTGCTTTTTCCTCCTAGGCTTCCAGGAGGCTGTTGTAAAGACTTTTGACATGCCCTGGAGACATTGTCCCCATTGTCCTGGGGATTATTTGACTCCTCATTAATTATGTACATTTCTGCAGCCAGCTTGAATTTGTCCTCAGAAAATGGGATTTTCTTTTCTATAGTGTTGTCAGGCTGCAACTTTTCTGAACTTTTATGCTCTGCTTGCCTTATAAATCTGAATGCCTTTAACAGCACCCAAGTCACCCCTTGAATGCTTTGCTGCTTAGAAATTTCTTCTGCCAGATACCCTAAATCATCTCTCTCAAGTTGAAAGTTCCACAAATTTCTAGGGAAGGGACAAAATGTCACCAATCTCTTTGCTAAAACATAACAAGAATCGCCTTTGCTCTAGTTTCCAACAAATTCCTCCTCTTCCTCTGAGACCACCTCAGCCTGGACTTCATTGTCCATATCATTATCAGCATTTTGTCAAAGCCATTCAGTAAGTCTCTAGGGAGTTCCAAACTTTCCCACATTTTCCTGTCTTCTTCTGAGCCCTCCAAACTGTTCCACTTCTGCCTGTTACCCATTCCAAAGTCACTTCCATATTTCCAGGTATCTTCTCAGCAGCACCCCACTCTACTGGTACCAATATACTGTATTAGCCCATTTTCATGCTGCTGATAAAGACATACCTGAGACTGGGCAATTTACAAAAGAAAGTGGTTTATTGGACTTACAGTTCCACATGGCTAGGGAGGCCTCAAAATCATGGTGGAAGGTGAAAGGCAAGGAGGAGCACGTCATGTCTTACATGGATGGCAGCAGGCAAAGAGAGAGCTTGTGCAGGGAAACTCCCATTTTTAAAACCATCAGCTCTCATGAAACGAATTCACTATCACAAGAACAGTGCAGGAAAGACCTGCACCCATAATTCAATCACCTCCCACCAGGTTCCTCCCACACTACGTGGGAACTGTGGAAGTTACAATTCAAGATGAGATTTGGGTGGGGGCACAGCCAAACCGTATCATCACTTTTGTAAGACTGGACTAGTTCTCTCAAAAATGGATTTGTTTCTGAGAGAGTGGGTTGTTATAAAGCCAAGATGTTCCTCGGGTTTCCCTCTCTTTGTGCTTGTAAGCTCCCTGTTTTGCTTTCTGCCATGAGGGCAGCCTTAAGCCCTCACCAGATGCAAATGCCCAGTCTCGAACTCTCCAGCCACCAGAATCATGGGCCAACCCCCACCTCCCTGCTTTTTTTTTTTTTTTAAAATAAACATCTCATTTCAGGTATTCTGTTATAACACTACATGAACCATACAGACATCTATGTAGAAAACTTAACATCATGGGGTACAAGAAGAAAATCTGTTTTCCAATCTTATTTTAAGAACTGCTCATATATAAAGGAGAGTTTATTAAGTATTAACTTACACGATCACAAGGTCTCACAATAGGCTGTCTTAAAACTCAGTAGCAAGGACAGCTAGTCTGAGTCCCAAAACTGAAGAACTTGGAGTCTGATGTTCAAGGGCAGGAAGGAACCAGCATGGGAGAAAGATGTAGGCTAGGAAGTCAAGTTAGTCTCTCTTTTTCACGTTTTGTTGTTTTTTTTTTTTTTTGCCTGCTTATATTCTAGCTGCACTAGCAGCTGGTTAGATTGTGCCTACCCAGATTAAGGGTGGGTCTGCCTTCCCTAGCCTGACTCAAATGTTAGTATCTTTTGGCAACACCCTCACAGACACACCCAGGATCAATACTTTGTATCCTTCAAGCCACTCAGTGTTAACCATCACAGTGGTGTATCCCACGTTTTGGAATACACTGTTTTGGACCATGTCCTTGCAGCTCAGCTGCAATTGGGTATTTGAAGGACACTTATGTTCACCTCCACCTGGCACACTGTGGGAGTTGAATTAAGATCTCCCTTTTAGCAAATACTGAGCATTTTGAACAAATGACATAGAATAAAAAGAAGCCCCTTAACTGGATGAAGAGCACAGCAATCACATATCTTGGGTTGTTTGAAATAGGCCTGGTTTAGTGCCCCTTTTCACTCACAAAAGCATTCCCAGTTTTTTTATAAAAGTACGTGTTTGCTCTAATTAAGTGGCTTAAATATCATACAATGAATTGTATGCATCCAATTACATTACTTCTTCACTCAGCTCAAGAACTGGTGTCAAAGAAGAGAAAGTCTGAACCAGATTGCAGCCTTAAATATACTTTGTAGTTTTTCCGATTGGTTTATAATTATTAGCAATTTTTGGCATTCTTCCATTTTCCTTTCCTTTTCGTCATTATTTTCACTAAGAATTCCAAAGATTTGTATAATTTTGAATTTTGTGTACCATGCTATGTTTTAGACTTTCAGTCATAACATTTACATTCTGATAGAAAGGAAAATTTGTCATAAAAGCCCAAAGCCTGGTAGGTTTGCTTTAGTCTTAAGCCATGAAATTTTCACCTGTCAGTTATTTTACATGTCAAGGATTAACTAAAGACCAAAAAGAAGGGGAAACTAAACAAACTAAAAATATCCTTTCCTTTCCCTTTTTAAAAAATTTCTAAGCTTCCAAAATATATTTTACATGGATTGATTTACTTATTTATTTTAATGTACAAATAAAAATTTAATATGTAGTATACAAAAGTACAATACATTGTTATTAATTATAGTAATCACATCATGCAACTGATCTCTTGAACTTGTTTCTCTAAGCTGAAGTTTGTATCCTTTTACTAACATCTGCCCAACTCCTCCTACACTTTTTTTATACTTGAATGGGAAGTGTCCATTCAGCTGGACTCTTTTAAGTTAAACATGCTACAAACTACCATTATGTGCTAAAGCACTCTGCTAGATTTTGATTATTGAAGCCTTGGTCTCTTCTTTAGGGGAGCTTCTAGTCTGAGAAAGGATAGCTATTAAATACCAGTCACAAAGCAATGTGATAAGGCTATGGGGGAAGCATCCTGCCAATGTTTGTACTATTTTCCCCACACTTCCTTTCTAGGACCACATGACCTTACCCCTGGATTTTGGCTGTAAAAACCTGATTGTTCTGTCTCCAATCTCTCTACACTTTTGACACAAGAGTTAAAAATAAACAGAAAATGTAAAAAATTAATTTGTCTGGCTCCAAGCTATATTCATTAACTTTCTCTGGCAAAGTCAAAGGATAGTGGTATTTGATGCAGCTCCAATCTGAGTTCTCTCAGGGAAAAAATCTTAATGAAGCTGCTTTGAACAGTTGGGGTAAGATCAGGCAGCAAAGGTTCTGTCTTAGGATGATCATACTAAGCAAACTCATCCTAAGCCTGGAGCTGGTCTCATAGAGTAGAAGAAGCCAACTGAAAATGTCCTAATGAGGTCATTAATTCCTCCTCCTTCACTGATTCTCCAAAGCTGAGAAACTCCATGAAAACATTCAGTTACTTGGTCTTTCCATTGGGTCATCACATAAACTTACATTTCATTTGCTAATTCAGACATCATATGTTTATACTGTCCTCTCCATTGCCCCTTGCAGAGTACTGTTCTTACAAAGCATTAGCTTTTGTGTTCACTGTAACTTTTCATAGAGTCACAATTCACGCACAGCATTCCTGCCTTCAAGGAAGCTGTCTTAAGCTCCATTCATATCAACTGAAAACAAATGGTGATCACAGAAAGATGGCCTGGATATATGGATGATGTTCTAAGTGACTGGGAACATCCTAGAAAAAGAAATAGTCTGTAGAACAAAAACCTGTCTGCCTGAAATATATGAATGGCCTTGGAAATGGAATCAGAGATAAGAGATAGCAGAGAAGCCCCTTTTCTTTAATCTGAATACTGGAATTCAGGTTCTGAGATTTCACAGAGACGGGGTTGATAGCAGGGCCAGAAGAAAGAGAGCAGATGTTGATGAAGGAACATTCCAAGCAATTTTCTCTCACCTTGGGGCATTGTTTTGAACATACACAGTTAAGGTGGAAAGCAGCTTATATAGGATGAAGGTCACAAAAATGAATATAGCTTAGACATCATGATTTCATCCCTCTCTCTCCTAGACTTTATCACAATGGCATCATCCAGTGTGCTTAGAGTGAGCAAAAGATGTTTGTTTTTAATAATTCTTCGGCAGATAGGTCAGGAATGTAGGCCTAATATCCTGCTTTGCTTGTATGAACCTTAAAAACAGAATTATAGTATCTGAAAGGCAGAAAGAGTTTAAAGATCATCTATTTCATTTTTTTGTGTGTGTATGTGTGTTTGCGTGTGTGCAGTGAGGAATCTATTGATTACCTGTATCACAATCAATAGGGTGCCAGTAAATAATTAAGGTTCCTGAACCTTGTCACAGAACAAGTGAATCAACATTTTTGTGGGGGCTACAGGTTAAAAAACCTGCATATTATTAATAATAAATAAACTGCATAATGATTTCTTTTGTACGTTAAAGCTTGAGACTCACTGGCCTAAACTACCCTTTAATTTGCTAATGAGAAAACTGGGCCATTTCCTCACCAAGACCAATCGGTAGCAAAATATGCATGATACAAGAGTTCTCCTGACCCCAATAGAATACATTTTTTTAAAATGATTTCATGAAGAGACTTGGACTCTCCTAGAGCAATGATTACTTTCTGTTTCATGCAAACACCAAGTCCTGAAAGGTTCCTTAATAGGATAAAGCTTCTAGTTTTGTAGGTACTTGGTTTTATTAGTTAAATGCTAAACTGAGTACATTTTTATAAGGGGCTTTAACTGTAAGACCAGTTATTTAAATCCTCCTGAGAAATAGCGCGATGACTCAGGATGAGACATCCCCTGATCTCTTCTTGCATCCAAAGTCCTTCCAGATTATCCTGTTTGATAGCAAAGATGTTTTCCTGAGGGGGTTCATGGAGCATGTATCTGGGCCATTTACCTAGGATGACAGCTCTTTGAAATCGCCTATGTATCCTCTTGCAGAGCTAGTTTAGTGCAGATACAACTGTACATCCCTACACAGGTCAAACACATTTCCCAACCTTACCGTCCAGTGTATTTATGTATTATTTTATATACCGAGGATCTTTGTAAAATTTATTTTGGACAAAGGATTCTGTTGTCAAAAGTAAGGCATTTAGAAGACATGTTTAAAAAAATGTGTTGCTTTGAAGAATAACACTGATTTCTGCATTTAGGGATAGTCTGTATGGGTTGCCATATCATTGCTATGGACTGAACAGTGTCCTTGGAAAATTTATATGTTGAAGTCCTAACCCTCAATATGACTATTTAAAGAAAACTTTTAGGAGGTAATTAAGGTTAAATGAGATCATAAGAGTGGAGTCCTAATCTGATAGGATTGTTGGTCTTATAAGAAGAAGACAGACAGAGCCCTGTCTTCACATACATGCACCAAGGAAAGCTCATGTGAGCACACAACAAAGCGGGGGCTGTCTGCAAGCCAGGAAGAGGGCCCCTACCAGAACCTGAGCATGCTGGCCCCCTAAGCTTGAACTTCCCAGCTTCCAGAATTGTGAGAAATAAACTTCTGTTGTTTAAGCCGCCCAGTCGATAGTATTTGTTATGGCAGCCTGAGGAGATTCAGATAGTCTTGAAGAGTAGGCCTAGTTTCAGAAATGGGCATGAAAACACAGGGTAGTATGGTCCCAGATAGGCCCCTTCCTGGAACACATATTTCCTATCTCAGGTGCTCTCAGGTTTTGGTTAGTGTGTATGGCCTCTGTTTGAGTCACCTTGCATTTGGCTTTTTAGCCTCTAGCTTCTTTCAGATAGCTCCATGGCAGTGTTAGAGTGATGCCCTACTGGTGTTTCCTTGGGATTGTTAACCATGCCATGATGCACTAACTCTCTTAAACAAGCCTGGACAGCAAAATGAGAGCTCGCCTCTACAAATGAGTTTAAAAAAATTATCTCAGTGCAGTGATGCATGCCTGTAGTCCCAGCTACTTGGAAGGCTGAGGAGGGAGGATCGCTAAGTATGGGTTGTACAACAGAAGTCTAGAACATCTTCATCTTGCATAACTGAAATTTGTTACTCCATTATATTCTTAAGGTATATCTAAACTCTTGAGTTTGCATACTCTATTACATCATGACTATTGTCTTCAAACCTCTACAAGTGACTGGGCTGATAAACTTAATTTAAAGTGACTCTTACTTCAGGTAAGTTATTTCATTGATTCATATTTCTTCCAACCTTAGCACCATCACAAATCAGAGCTTCTTGATGATGGGTAAATCTGCCAGGCTTTGCCTTAGAAACAAAGAAAAGCAACCTTACTAAAGATATTTCAGGGTTAAAAACCTGATATATAGTGGTAAGTTGGCATTAGAGGAAGAGAATCCATTTTAAGAACTGAGGGAGCTAATAAGTATGTGAGTGTTGGTGGAGGAACGAAGAGGAAATCAGGTTTGTGAGGCTGGGCAGTGGCCCATTGCTGGACTTCAGATAGACTTTTCAGATTACTGACATGCCACAAAACCACAGGCTTGGAGACAGCATTCTTATAAGGGAAGAGGTTGAGCATAAGGTCACCCAAAGGCAGAAGAAAATATTTATTTTACTATTTAGAGTTGTTTTCCTTTCTTTAAACAAACTCTCCATCAATTCCACAGCAAGAGCTTTCTTCTGGCACATCTGGTTTATGTGAATACATTAGTGAGTTTCCCAGGAAGCCGCAGCATCACACAAAGGCCCATGATCATTTCACCAGGTAATGATTAATGTCATGTTACAGTTTCACAATATCATAGTTGAATAACTAATCAGTTAACTAAGGTTTTGTGAGTACTTATGTGTGAAGAACAATAATTTATTTATGTGACTATTCCTCGATGACAGCAGTCAGTTCCCTGGAAAGTATAGATTAAACCACTGCATTTCTCGGTAAATAAATATACTAGTCAAAGACCAAGATATTATTTATGTGAATGTACTAATGACTTTAACAGAGATATAAACTCTTATTTTAGGAATCGTTTAGTACTAGTAGTGAAGTTCTAAATGGATGCTATATAAAGAATTTGCTCTTTATTATATTAGTTATGAGAATTACAACCAGTGAATCATAGTAACTGGAAAATACCTTAGGGTTATAAAAGGAAATCCATTAATTGAACAAATTAAGTATTTGAAGACTAAAGAGGGTAGGAGACTTGTCCAGGCCTCCTGAGTCTTTAGAGTTTTTAATTAGAGCACCAGTCCCGCAGATTGTATTTGTCTTCTTGAAGTTGTGACTCATGAGATATGCATGTATGCTTAAGAATACATGTTTACTGTTTCTGCACTACCTGAGTGACAGGATCATCCATGACTCAGACCCCAGCACCACGCGGTATACCCATATAACAAACCTGCATGTGCACCCCCTGAATCCAAAATAAAAGATGAAAACAAAAACAAAAACAAAAACAGAATATGTGTTTAAACACCCAGCTCTGACTGAGGACTCAAAAGAAAAGTGGCAACCTAGGAGGTGAAGGGCAACCTCCTTTTTCCAAGCAGACATAGCTAAAGTCATTCATACAAAGCCCTTATGTTTGATTGCGCAAACATACAACACCATGTAGAAAAAGAAGAAAAGATCATCTGTGGATGGAACATCTGGGTGGGTACAGCTAGTCTCTGTGGTTTATCTCTTTCTAAGATGTCAGAGTGGCATACTTTAAAGACAGTTCAGTCCACAATTTTGAACCCATTCCCTAAGACCCAGAGAATCAAATTGTTAATGCTGCCATGAGTTCTGTACAATGGTTTTACATTAATACTGCCAGGAGAAACTTTAAAATCACCAATGCCCCGGCCCCTTTCCAGACCAATGAAATCAGAATTTCTGGGCTGGGTCCCAGGCATTGGTAATGTTTAACACTCCCCAGGTGACTCTAATGTGCAGCCAGGCCTGAGAACTATTGAGTTACTCATAAAATCAGGCAAAAAAAAAAAAAAAAAGATTATTTATAAAATGGTCTTCTTATCAAGGAAATAAAGCAATGTTCAGTTAACTACATTTAGCAAATTCCCAATTTAGCTGGCACTGTCTTAAATCTGTGAGATTCATTCTCCTCCTCGTCCTCCTCCTTTTCTTTCTTCCTCTTCTTCCTCGTCTTCTCCTCCTTCTCCTTTTCCTTCTTCTTCTTCTTCTTCTTCTTCTTCGAGACAGGGTCTCACTTTGTTGTCCAGGCTGGAGTGCAGTGGCTCCATCATAGCTCACTGCAGCCTTGAATTCCTGGGCTTGAGCAATCCTTCAGCCTCAGCCTCCAGAGTAGTCAGGACTACAAGTGGGACTACTGGACTACAGGTGTGTAAATTTAAAAAATCCTATGCCTGGCTATTTATTTTTATTGTTTGTGTAGAGACGGGGTCTTCCTATGTGGCCCAGGCCTCCTGGGCAAACTCCTGGCCGCAAGCAATCCTCCCAACTCAGCTTGCAGAGCTGCTGGGATTACAGGTGTGTGCCACTATGCCTGGCGGGGATTCATGCTTCTTTAGAGATTTAAATAAGTCAATGTTTAAACCTTAATCTTCAATTTCCGACATTTATGACTTTCCCTCTTTATGTTCTTTGTCTCAGGATGAACATATTTGTACTTTAAGTGATTTTCTAGTCAGCAATTTTCATTTGTTAAATTCCAAATGGTTGCCTGTCTCTACGTTAGGTACTTTGTACACTTAATTTATTCCTCACAACAGAGCTATGCATTAGACATTATTATCCTCATTTTATATAAGGGAAAATTGAATCTCACAGAAGTTCAGTTGGATGGCTAGAAATAGCCATTCTGATGCTCTAAACCAGGTTTGTTTTTTTCCTATTCTAGTACACTGTATCCTGACAATAGCCTGGTGTCACAGCTAAGTCCTGGACGGAGAATTGGCAAATGGGTGCTCTTTCCTGGACCTGCAACTAATGTCTCTTACAAGTCCTATAACTGGAACTTCTTCATCTTAAGAAAACAAAAAGGGGCTGGGCATGGTGGCTTATGCTTGTAATCCCAGCACTTTGGGAGGCCAAAGTGGGAGGAGTACTTGAGCCTGGGAAGGAGTTCAAGACTAGCCTGGACAACACGGTGAAACCCAATTTCCAAAAAAAAAATTATTAAACAAAAAGAAGGGCTGGGTGCGGTGGCTCACACCTGTAATCCCAGCACTCTAGGAGGTCGAGGCAGGCAGATCACTTGAGGTCAGTAGTTCAAGACCAGCCTGGCCAATGTGGTGAAACCCTGTCTTTACTAAAAATACAAAAATTAGCCAGGTGTGCTGGCTCGTGCCTATAGCCCCAGTTACTCAGGAGCCTGAAGCACGAGAATTGCTTGAACCCGGGAAGCAGAGGTTGCAGTGAGCCAAGATCAAGCCACTGCACTCCAACCTGGGTGACAGAGTGAGACTCTGTCTCAAAAAAAAAAAAAAAAAAGAAGAAGAAAAAAGAAAAGATTCAAGAAGGCAAGAAAGAAGCCAGTCACAGAAGACTACATTTTGTATTCTATAAAATTCCACTTATATGAAACTTCTAGAAAAGGCAAAACTACAGAGACAGAGAATTGGTTCAGTGGTTGGCTGGGGCAGGAGAGGGGATTGACTGCCACAGGTGAGAGGGAAATTCCTGGCATGATGGGTATGTTTTAAACTGGACTGTGGTGCTGGTTGTATAATCATATATAGTCATCAAAAGTTCTACAACTGTACACTTACAATGGGAGAATTTTATGATATGCAAATTATTCCTCAATAAGGCTGTTAAAAATGGTACTGGGGCTTGCACTAGAAGATGACCGCTGTAGTGATTCTAGAGATACTAACTCTTTATGGCATTTTCACAGTAGATAACTTGAATTGTTGCATCTTTAACAACATTTTGACCTGTTTTTTTTTTTATGTACCCATTTAAGTATACAATTAATAAGTCTTGACCAATTCTCTGTCTCTATAGTTTTGCCTTTTCTAGAAATTTCATATAAATGGAATTTTATATAATACAAAATGTAGTCTTCTGTGACTGGCTTCTTTATTGCCTTCTTGAATCTTGTTTTTTCTTTTTTTTTCTTTTTTTTGCCTACATCTATGCGACCACCATCACAATCAAGATATAAACATTTCCATCACCCCCAAATTTCCCTGTGTCGTTCCCACTCACCCCGCCACTCACCACCCCTGGCCCCAGGCACCACTGACCTGCTTTCTGTCACTATAGATTAGATTTGTCTTTATTAGCATTCCATAAAAATGGAACCAAGCAGTATGTACTTTTTTGGGTCTGGCTTATTTTACTAAGCTTGCTGTTTATGAGACTCATCTGTGTTGTTGCATTTATCCAGCAATTTTTTTATTGTTGAGTAGTATTAGATTGTATGGATATATCATAATTTGTTCTTGGCTATAATGAATCAAGCTGCTGTAAACATTTATGTACAAGTCTTTTGTGGACTTGTGTTTCATTTATCTTGGGTAAATTCCTATATCTAGGAGTAGACTTGTTGGGTAACAGGGCACGGGTATGTTTAATGTGTTAAGAAATTGCCAAACTGTTCTCCAAAGTGACTGAGGTTAACACTTTCAAATTCTACATTCTTACTAGCACTGTGTAAAACTTCTGGTTGCTCCACATCCTCCCCAGCACCTAGTATTGTTCTATTATTTTATTTTTTCAAATGAATAACTTTTTATTTCACCAAAAACTTGATATTGTTCTATTGTTAATTATTTCAATATTTTATTTCTCAATGAAATTTATTACATAATTTTGAAGTTTTTCTCAAAATAAGAAGTGGCCCACTTTTTAGAAGCCCTGTGTGCAAATTAATTCTTACTATTCAGCATCACAGTTATTTAAAAATTCAAATAAACACTGCAGTTTAGCAAAGTTTTCCCCTCAAAATTTCAATTATAAGTGTTAGCTGTAATTTTAAATAAGAAACAAAAGTTTAATTGGGCAAAATCTGGACATCCACATAGAGTAAAGTAGAAATCTATTTGTCAAGTGATGTGGGACTCATTTTTTGAGGTTGAGCTCCATTATTACTGTACTTGTGCTACAGATAGTATATCATGTACTCTGAGTAGAAAACAACACATCAATAGGTTGAGACCTAGCGTCATCATTTACTTTTTTGCATCTGAGGCTTCTTTCTTTATTTCTAAGAGGTTGACCTGAACATCATTGGCTAAACAGAGGAAATCAAGAAATTGTTAAAACTTGGCCAAAGTTTTCTACCTCTAATAGTTATGAGATGATGAAGGGAAGACTCTGTTCTGAAGAAGAATTCAATAATGTCTTCTTTCACAGGCTTTGAAAGATTATCTCTTCACAGATTCTTCTAACTTTTTGTTTGTTTATAGACCATGTGTTCTCAATAGGAGCAATATTGTCCAGCAAAGGGTGAAAATTGGTTCTTGGCAGGGGTTAACATTTTCTTACTATATTAATGTATAAAGCACAGATGTACCTATATACAGTTGATAAACAAACATAATAGTGTCTCTGTGGCATTAAATCTTATGGAGGAAAGCACGATCAGAAAAAATGTCTAAAAAGGCTTCTTTAGAGATGTGATACTGAACAAAAGTTTAGAAACTGAAATAGAGGACAGGAAAGGCCACATAAAGAGTTTAAGGGGACTAATCAAACAGGATGTTTTCAACTGATTACATGAATTTGATCTGAAACTGATCCCTCAGAATCCCCCCACTCTCAAGATACCATTTGACCTGAAGTCATTAGCTTTGGAATAGAAAGGAAGAAATCTATACTTTGTTAAGAAATATTTGTAAATTGGAAATTTTCCTTCTTTATCTCACTTTGTTTTAAAGCAATACTGGAGAAAAAAATATTGTTATATTCATTTTTTATAGCTGAGGAAGTAAGGCTCAATGAGGTTAACACTTTCAAATTCTACAAAGAATACACAGTTTCTGAGTGTGATTAGTGAATGTAAGAACCTGAGTTTGTTTGATTTCAAAGCCCATGATTTCCTCCCCGTCATATGCTAGCCAGGGATTGCTGGTGGGTGAGATGGTGTTCCATTCAACTATCCTGAGTTCACTGAAAATGGACTCAAATGCCCGAGGCAGGAATTGATGTGTTCTCACAGCTCGAATTCTGGGAAGACTAGTGGTGGGGGTAGGGCTGTCACTAAGATGTCCAGGAGTTCTGCAAGGGGCAGCAGAGGCACATTCTCCCAGGAAGTCTCAACTGGACTGGAGCTTACAGGAATCTTGTTCTAGCCAAGAGCTTTGACTAGAACAGAACCAATCTCAGGATTGCAGAGAACCCTGTGAGTAGCAGCCTTACATTCCATTCCATATTTGTCAGTGAGGGAGAGGCACTCTGATCCCCATCAGAAATTTGAAGAACCGCATAAGTTTTGGCTAGCTGCCTGTTCTCTCTGCTTCACAGCTTAACGATGAAACTTTTGTTCTCTGTGTTCTTCCATCCTTCACTCCCAAGTAGCACATGCCAACCAAAGAATGACTGCTGATTTCAAAATCAGAGAGATGGCCGTATAGACTATGAACATATAGACCATTTCTGCTTTTTCTTTTGTTTCTAGAGGTTAGCATAAAACTTTTTGTGCAACATCCCCTATACTCATTAAATCTGTGACATCCTTGTTGCTACCTGATATCATATATCTGCTTTATTTTATATTTCTGCTTTTCCTTTTCCAGTGACAGGTTGCCATTTTAATGATGATTAATTATCTATCATTTGGGAGCAGGACCTTAACCTTTAACTTTTCCTGACAGGACAAAAAACATGTGTTCACAACACCCACCCTTATTGATTCTCTTGGTAAGGAAGAAGAGAGGATCATAAACTAGAAGTGAAAAAGTGGAGAAAAATGATGCTTGCCTCACTCTGCTATAACAAATGAATGTAAGTTAAAACTAAAATACAGTTTAGAAAACTTTCACATATTACGCACAAGAACAAGCTATGAGTGTTGTTATTTTACTATTCGCAAAATTTATAGTCCTAACGTCTCTTCTAAGGGACAAATATCAAGCATTTCATAAGAGGTTACATGTCATCTTGCTCTATGCTAGCATGGAAATAAATGAGAGTTGGGAAAACAGGAAATAAATATTCTAAGTTATCAGGGAATGTTGCCAAGGCATCATAGGAGTGTCACTAGTTATTTTGGTTTCTCAACCAAGACCTGAGATACAAGGTCAGTGGGTGGTGTCTAGGACAACAAAGAGAAAATGAGGAATCTCTTGGAAAGGGCTCTCCCCTTGCTCTGTCTCCCCTTTATTCTTCACTCGGTAGGCCAGATCCTCTGGAGGCAGAATGCAGCCACCACTGTATTTACACTTTGGTACAAGAGAGGTTTCTCGTATGTAAGCACAGTGCTCCATGGAGCCATAGAGATAGCTGGCAGCACTCTGCAGTTTTCTGGGCAGTAGCTTGATAGACTGGAGAAAGCCTGAACTAGGAGCCAAAAGTTTTGATGTTAGATGCACAGTCATCACAAGTAACAGCAAATCAATTTTTAGCAAGTTACTTAAATCTTTCTATCTTGGTTAATTTACTGTTTTACATTCTAAAAATTGAGATATAATTCATATACTATCATATCCACCCTTTATGAAGTGTGGAATTCGATGATATTTAGTACTTTCACAAAGTTGTGTAACCATCACTGCTATCTTATTCCAGAACATTGTCATCATTCCAAAACAAAACAAAACAAAACACCCATATCCATGAGCAGTCACTCCTTACTCTTCCCTCCTCCCAGAACCCAGGAACCACTAATGTACGTTCTGTCTCTATAGACTGGACTATTCCACACATTTCATATAAATGTAATTATATGATATGTGATCTCTTGTGTCTGTCTCCTTTCACTTAGCATAATGTTTTCAAGGTCCATTCATGGTGTTACATGCATCAAAATTTTATTTCTTTTTATGGGCAATAATACTCAATTGTAGCTTATTGTTTAGTCACTCATTCATCTGGTCATCCATCATTCACCTACTCTTCATTGAATACCTATTATGAACCAGCTTTGTCCTAGGCTCTTGGGACACATTTATTCATATTTGTGACATGAATGAATAAAGGTACAAATTGATTAACTAATAAATAAAGATAAATATGAGATCTTCATGTCCCCTCAGTTAAAAATATTGGGTGAAGAGATTGTTTATGAGCTTTTAAAATTTTGAGGTCTTTGTGTCCAAAGGAGACCTGAGTTCTTGTTTAATTTCTGCGTCTACTTAGCCCTTGGAACTTAGATTAGAGGAGGGAGGGAGGCCTGCTTCATGAACCCCAGAACTGTGGCTTATTTCAATGTGGCCCTGTGCTCAGAAGGGCTTATGCTTGTTTTAACACTCTGTTGTGACTGTCTTGAAATTCTTAATAACTTTTGAACAAGGCGCCTTGTATTTCATTTTCCACTGGGCCCTGTAATTTATGTAGCCAGTTCTGAAGGGAACAAATATTTATTAAGTGTCTACTCTGTATTCGCCATTTAATTTGACCCCACAGCCCATGTTGTTTAACAAGTCATGTTTCGCTATTTTAAAAATGAGAATATTACATTTAATATTATTTAAGATCTCTTCTATATCTAAATTTCACTAATTATAAGGCATGCAAAATGATCTATGAAGGCCATGTATTATACTTGTACCAGCTGATTCATCTTTTCAAGACTGATCTTAATTGTCATAACTTCCCGGAAATCTTCCTTGATTCTTTCCCCAACCAAATTTAGTATGCTTTCTTTTGTGTTCTCATACTCCCTCAGTGTTATTAACAGAGCTTTTTATAAAACTGGATTTTATGAAGTAAAAATAGTTTCTGTCTCTCCCACTGCATTTTATGCCCCCTTTAAATCAGGTACTGTGTCTTAGTTAACATGTAACTTGCAAAATGCTTCTTAAAACAAGCAGGATTAAAGAGTCCAAAAATAAAAATGAAAATTCAGAAATGCCAGTTCATGACGTTATTAGAGATGGGAAAAGCTAGGGCAAACACATAATCCACAACAGAGTCACTGGAATATAGAAACTAAAGACATACAATGAGAAAAGAAATTAGGACATTTTCCCAAGTAAACTTAACTTAAAAGAACTATAGTTTTAAAATGATATATGCATAATAGTATAGGAATTTAATAAACAAAAAGTAATACAAAAGTAATACCTCTCCATAATTTAAAAATAATCAAAAGACACAGAGGGTATAAAATAAAAATTTCTTTTCGTGTAATTTCCCAGTCTCATTTTCCAAAGATATGCTCACTAAGAGTTTCCTGGCCTAGCATGGTGGCTCATGTCTGTAATCCCAGCACTTTGGGAAGCTAAGGCAGGCAGAAACTTGAGCCCAGGAATTCAACACTAGCTGGGGAAGCGTGGCAAAACCCCATCTCTACAGAAAATTGCAAAAACTAGGTGGGCATGATGGTGCATGCCTGTAGTCCTAGCTACTTGGGAGGTTGAAGTGAGAGGATTACCTGAGCCCAGGGAGGTTGAGGCTGCAGTGAGCTGTGATTGTGCCACTGTACTCCAGGCTGGGTAACAGAGTAAGACCCTATCTCAAAAAAA